AATAAACTCAAAATGGATTAGAGACCTAAATGTAAGACTGGACACTATAAAACTCTTAGAGGAAAACTTAGGAAGAACACTCTTTGACATAAATCACAGCAAGATCTTTTTTGATCCACTTCCTAGAGGAATGGAAATAAAAACAAAAATAAACAAATGGGACCTAATGAAACTTAAAAGCTTTTGCAAAGCAAAGGAAAATACAAACAAGACGAAAAGACAACCCTCAGAATGGGAAAAACTATTTGCAAACGAATCAATGGACAAACAATTAATCTCCAAAATATATAAACAGCTCATGCAGCTCAATATTAAAAAAGCAAACAACGCAATCCAAAAATGGGAAGAAGACCTAAATAGACATTTCTCCAAAGAAGATATACAGACTGCCAACAAACACATGAAAGAATGCTCAACATCATTAATCATTAGAGAAATGCAAATCAAAACTACAATGAGGTATCACCTCACACCAGTTAGAATGGGCATCATCAGAAAATCTGCAAACAACAAATGCTGGAGAAGGTGTGGAGAAAAGGGAACCCTCTCCCACTGTTGGTGGGAATGTAAATTTATACAGCCACTATGGAGAAGAGTATGGAGGTTCCTTAAAAAACTTAAAATAGAACTACCATACGACCCAGCAATCCCACTACCTGGCATATACCCAGAGAAAACCATAATTCAAAAAGACACATGCACCCCAATGTTCATTGCAGCACTATTTACAATAGCCAGGTCATGGAAGCAACCTGAATGTCCATCGACAGACGAATAGATAAAGAAAATGTGGTACATATATACAATGGAATATTACTTAGCCTAAAAAGGAACGAAATTGGGTCATTTGTAGAGACGTGGATGGACCTAGAGACTGTCATACAGAGTGAGGTAAGTCAGAAAGAGAAAAACAAATATTGTATATTAACTCATATATGTGGAATCTAGAAAAATGCTACCAATGAACTGGTTTGCAAGGCAGAAATAGAGACACAGATGTAGGGAACAAACGTATGGACACCAAGGGGGTAAAGTGGCTGTGGGGTGGTGGTGTGATGAATTGGGAGATTGGGATTGACATTGATACACTAATATGTATAAAATAGTTAACTAATAAGAGCCTGCTGTATAAAAAATTAAAATAAAAATTTTTTTAAATGACATAGGGAATGATACAATAAAAATAAAAAAAGCAACCCATCTTAGAAAGGCCTCAGGAGTCAGGTATGCAAGATTAGGGAAATATTTTTCAATCTTATCAATTGCAGCAAATATTATTAACGTTGTTAAATATTTGTACAATTATCACAACATTTGCTTTTATATTCACCATCTTCCCTGATCTTTACCCGGCTCCTAGGAAGCAGATTTTAGTACAACTGCCCTGTTATAGGGGAGAGAATGGAGGCCCAGATAGATTGTGTGTCTTAGCAGAAGCCAGACTCACATCTCTACCTTTGGCTCCAAATTTCATCCTCCTTCTTCTCCACCTCATGTCAAGTGCTAATAATAAGTGGAAAAAAAGATGTTAAAAAACCCACAAAATAAATGCTATGTATTCAAGTTCTTGACTCCAAAAATCCGCACTCTAGGGTATCGGATTGTCTCCACATCCACACTCTGGGCTGGTCTTTATTCTAGATGCTTTGGTACTACCTGGTCAACCCCTCAGAGCTGTGATAATTATGCTAGATTATTATATAATTATGCCTGTGACCTATCACTTTTATAATACTGCCCCCAAACCTCCTGTCCCTTGTCCTTCACTGGTGAAGGATTTCCTCAAAAGGGTGACCTCTTTTGCTCCCATTTCTCCAGAAGATTTTGGTTGGTTGGTCTTCCCACAAAGCTTTCCTTATGTCTGTTTCCCTGGCTTTAGGTAAGAGGGCTCCTTTCACTTTGCTCCCACTCTCAACTCTCTGTCTCCCTCTGGCCTTCTTTGACAGGAAGTTCTCATTCTCTACCTGTCGACCCCCAAAACATGGGGAGCATCTGAACACTTGTCCTGGCCAAGTGTTCCATTGACTATAAAAAAGGGGGCCAAGCCCTCTCCTTTAACTGACAGAATCTAGAGTGAACACAGCTGAGACCAAGACACTCGCTTCATACTCCAAATTAGTCTACTCTTAAACTACTTATTTCTGTCCTCAAAAGGATTCTTACAGCCCTGAGAAGAAAATAGAAAGGAGAAAAAGGCAAGATTATGCAACTAACTAGTTCTTCCAGTGATCCCAGGACCACTCACTTGGTCATCAGTTTTCCTTTAGGCTAAAGGCTCTGCCAGCCCTTGGCTTGTCCATTCTTTGAGCTTGGCTGGCTGCAAAGAGAAGGGAAGTTTATATTATTAAGCTTCAAAAGTGTCTGAAATTCTCCTTCAATTTCTCCAGCTTCCAGGCTTTCTGGTACCTGTCTTCTGCCCTTCATGTATTTTGAAATGAAAATAGCCCATAGATACAAATATTTACCAACACAGCTGTGGCACTGACTTTGGCTGACACACATGAAACAGGGCATCAGAAGCTTATCAGCAGCTCACAGCAGCCATGAGAAGGCTGGAGAAGCATGCTCGGTGATGGGCAGAAGTCAAGGCTTGTTTGGAGGGCTGGGAGGCAAAATCCAGGAGGTGGTCATAGAGTAGAAAGTTTCTTGAAGCACTACCGCTGTCATGGATGGGCCGTCAACCATCTTCTGTCTCTTTATCTCTTTGTTCAGGATTCAGATCTATTTCTCTTGTCCTTACCTGGGTCACGGTCCTGCCTTTTGGCTACAGGTAGGCAGGGCACTGCCACACTGTTATCTAGTGGGGAAAAAGTGATTCCCCCAAGGAAAATAAATCATGGTCTTCTTGGGAAGGGAGAATTGATGCTTGATAGCAGTAAAACAGCCAGTGCCTGATATAACACTTTAACAACTATTAAAAATAGTTTAATATTCAAGAATAGAAACAAAGCATAGAAATGATACACGGAAAAGAGCAAGGTTGCACAGAGCTGGATCAACCATGCTGTAACTTAATTAAGGAGAGAACTTGGATTTAGTTTGCTAAACATTTTACAGACTGTTGAAGGAGTCAGTGAAAGACATTGTATGCACCATGTTTAGTCTAAGTAAAGGCCTGGTACTCTCTAGCCACTTGCCCCAATTTCACCCATCATACTTGCCACCCAGAGGCGTCCCTAACTTGGAGCTAGTCTCCCAGCAACGGTGAGCTGAGCTCTGCTGAGCTTCGGCTTCAGATCACTGGAATCTTGGCTCTGCCCGTGGGGCCATGTCAACGATTTCTGATGTGGCTTCCATTATGACATGACCCACTTCTCATAGTGCCTTCCACCCTCAGACCAGTTGGATTTCTTATCCTCAGGTTTCCTCTTGGCCTCGAATGAGTTCCTCATTGTTGTATGGGTATTGTCAGTCTTCTTGTTCTGGGAAAGGTTCTGGGGAAGATAGCAGGTGTCCCGCCAGAAGCCAAGCCCTGTGTGCTAGTCATGAACTCAACAAAGTTGTGGAGAGAGCAGTGGTCCTGCCTTCTCCACGCCAGGGTGATAGGGAGCATGGAGTGGTCTGCAGAGACAGCTTCCTTGCCTGAGATAGGCTGGAATGAGACTTAATGGGATGAAACTTAACCAACCCCATGTACTCTCCTATGAGAGGGGAGCTCATGCCATTTATTTAGGGTTGCCTCTTCCTGGGGAATATCCTCTCCCACTAGCCTTAGAGGAGCCCAGAGCAGCCACTGGAATGGCCCTTGGATTTGTGTGTCTCCTTTTTACTTTTGAAAGTACATTCAGGGCTTTTACATTTCGTGGTATTTCTAACAACCCTGCAAGGTGGGCAGGAGGCAGGTTTCTCTCTCTGCTCTATGGATGTTGACATTAGACAGCCTGTGATGCTGTGTCTTGGAGCAGAGCTTTGACTTGGTATTGCTCATGCAGTTCGACAACAGGGAAGCACAGGCAGTGGGGATAACCTTGCCTGGCGCATCCGCACTAATGCTCCTGAAAATAGGACTGCAGCTTCTAACACCTCACCGAGGGGCTGGCATGGCTCTTCCATGGACACCTGGTTTTGTACCCCAGGTCACTGGGGAGAAACTGAGGAAGTAGATTACATGGTCTTTTTCTTTAAGGAGCTTTCAAGTAGTTTGGCCTCTTTGATTTATTCTGACACTGTAGACAAAATATCAGTGATATTTGTTCTGCTTCTTCTCTTAAGCAAATAGATAACTGAACAAACAAAACAACTTCCTTGACGCCGTGCACCATGTGGAGAAGGAGTCAGGTGTGTGAGGGTCACAGATCTCGGCAGCCTCAAACCCTCATGATACCAGAAAAGTCAGCTGACCCCTGGGAAGTCTCTTCCCTCACCATCCCAGCCCCCATCCTCATCCAGGACCCCGGCGCCATGAGACTCCAGACGGGGACGTGTCCCCTCCCTGGCATCTCCGGAGATTTTGAATGCTCCGGGCTTCCCGTGCTGCCTGTGCCGCTCACTGGGATTATGAATCTGGGAGGCCATTGACCTTCCTGAACCCAAGCCTCCTTTTGCGTAAGGTGGGGTTGATCCCACCAGGTCTTTTGAGCATTATGAGCACTAAATGGCAAATCCATGGGGCATGTTAGGAGCTCAAGGACCATTCCCTTTTATCCCCATGGGACTCCTGCTGTTTCCGCCAGTTGTTCAAAGCATCTTCTCCCAAGGCTTGCCTCTGGGTGTGACAATCGTTCTAAGCAGAGCGCGGGCGGGGGTTGGGGGCAGGTGGTAGATGCTGCCAAGTCCTGCTTGCTGGGTCTTTGCTACCTGGGGGCAGTGTCCCAGGCTACTGGTACCCCAGGTAACAGGGCTGGCCATGCAGTTGAGGGGAGGTGGGAGAAATGGGGGCATGCTCACCCAGTGCCCAGCAGGCTGAACAGGCCTGGGGTCTCCAGCCTCCCAGAGTTTTCAGAAAGCCAGTCGGGGCTCCTGTTAGGGCTTGGCCTGACCCTCCTGTGCTTTCCCTGCAGGACAAAGAAGTGAATCTGGAGCAGGTCCATCGGCGCATGAACAGTCTAATGGATGAAGACATTGCTCACAAGCAGATTTCCCCAGCGTCCATTGAGCTCTCGGCCCTGGAGATGGGGGGCCTGGCTCCCAGCCAGGCCTTGGAGCCAGCGCGGGAGTATCAGAACACGCAGCTCTCGGTCAGCACCTTCTTGCCGGAGCAAAGCAGCCATGGCACTAGCCGGACACTCTCGTCAGGGCCCAGCAGCAGCCTGCCTCTGCCACTGAGCAGTTCGGCCACCATGCCCTCCATGCAGTGCAAACACAGGTCGCCCAACGGGGGGCTGTTCCGCCAGAGCCCCGTGAAGACCCCCATCCCCATGTCCTTCCAGCCCGTGCCTGGAGGCGTCCTTCCGGAGGCCTTGGACACCTCCCACGGCACCTCCATCTGATCGCGCCGCCTGCCCTCCTGCCCACCCATCCACCCACCCGACCAGCAGAGCTTTTTAATACCAGAAAACAACACCACAAGCCACACACACACGTGCACACACACACAGAGACTCTTTCATTTTTCTTGTATATATGTGTAAATAATGACAGAATGGAGTGGGGTAAAAGTGTATTTTGAATATTCCCAATTTTCGAAGTCAGTAAAAAAAAAAAACCACAAAAACTGTATGAATGACTTTGTAAATTTTGTTCTATATGAATAAAAAGGCAAATTACTTGTGATCCTTCTGAAGTGCCAAAGAAGCCCCCTGTTCCTGGGCCTTTCTGAGGGCGAGGGCAGGAGGGGCGATCAGATAAGGATGTCCCCTGCTGGCGGAGAGAGGAAGGTAAGCAGCCGGTCCCTTTAGAGGAGCCCCAATTGCTGCTTGCTGCCCTGTCCCATGGTTTCCTGCCATGTTCCTCCGCTCCTGGCCCTTGGTTCCCCTTAGTCCTCTCGGGTCGATAAAGGGTGAGCCTCAAGTCAGCGCTGGTCCGACCCCTGGGTCCCTGTGCTGTAGGGTGATCAACTGTGCCAGTCAGCCTGGGACTGAGGAGGCTCCCGGGACACAGGACAGTCCTGTTTGGTCACTCTACTGCATGTCACAGTGTGCTGTGGACCCAACAGAAGCACCAGGCCAATGCAGCCGACTCTGAGGGCTCTGAGGCCGACATGCTCTAGGCTTATCCTGTTGGCCTTGTTTTTTACTTTCTTTTCCTAATTGGAAGAATCAACAAGTGATGGAATCTGGGAGAAGGAGGGTAGGTCCCATCATTTCCTCTGGAGACTGGGCAGAGGTGGGCTTGGCCTTGTCTGTGGGGATAGGGAGATGTGGGGTGTGATGTGTGGATCAGGTGAGGTGGGAGGATGAGAAGCCAGGGAGGGGGAGGATATTCCCTTGGATGTGAGACCCGTGGTTTCAGGTAAAAGGATCCTGCTGGAGGAGTGGAGGGAGGTACCCCAGGTGAGCAGACTAGTGCTGTAGGTGATGGGAGTGCCCAGAGTAGATCAAAGGGATCATGTTGGTTCAGGTAAGAGGAAGCCTTAGCTCTGAGAGAAAGAACAGCATAACTTTGTGTGATGTGGAGACAAGTAATTCCCAGCCCCCAGGGAAGTAGCCCCAAAAGTAAAAGAATGTCTCTGGGTCTTAAACACTGCAGGCAGTCTGCCAAACAGGGCCGGAGCCCAGCACGAGCCCTCATACCCTGCTTTGCCACCTTCTCCAGACCAGAAACCCTCCAGCTCGATGTAGCCCATAGCAGGGGCCCTCCTGGCTGATGGCATCATATAGTCTCTGAGATCCACAGGCCTATCCTTGAGCTGGTGAACCTGCTAGGAAACTCTGTTTCTTAAGCCGAAGACAACCTGACAGCCCTGCCTCCCTCCACTGCCCTTTTTGGGGCAGTTAAACTATAGGACGAGAGAGGGAAAAAACAAAATCAAAGCAAAACACTAGGGGCAGAGTAATTCGAGTACTGTGAGCTGTACCTTCAAGCCCTTCTTCTGAAGACGAAGGTGATTCTGCTTTCCTAACCTGCCAGAATGTGGTGAACGCAGCCTACATCTGGCACCAGAAAGGGTGGGGCTCCCTCTCCCAGCAGCAATCAGGGGGCTAAGAGCTCGGATCTGTGGTCGTGGAGAAATACAAAGTCCTATTGATTGCCTCTCCTATAGCACTGTGGAATTACTCCAGAGATGTAGTTATGAGGGTGATAACTAGCTTGGGATTGATTTCTTTCCCAAAGTCCTACGTGACATGATTGAGCAGTAAGGAGTGGCTGCATCACACAAGTCAGCTAAAAACACTCTGGGGAGGAGAGTGTTTACAATTATGTTATTTATCTGTGGATTCTGAGAATGGCCTGATATTCATGCTACCAAGGAGATCCATTGACATTTCTCCAGTCACAGCGTGTAGAGCCCAGACCTGGGTGCATGTAGATGGGGAAGCTTAGGTGGGCAATGGTTACCCTGAGGGAGGACGGGCTTCATTTTCTTTCCATCAGCACTTTGAGGGGTCCTGCCCTGGATGGTCAAGTTTTCCTATGTATTTCTCTATTTTTTTAATCAAATTCTGGTCTCACTGCCTTATCTCACACCCAAGTCTGGTTTTTTTGGGGTTTTTTTTGTTTGTTTTTCTCCCTGAAATGATCTGTCTTCTGGGATATACCATGGGTATCTTCTTAGACAGTTTGCTTTGAATGGGTGTCAGGGAGAGGTGAGAGATTGTGTGTGTGTGTGTGTGTGTGTGTGTGAGAGAGAGAGAGAGAGAGAGAGAGGATGAGAGCAAGTGGATCTTTGAGGGAAAGGTATTTTGCTGATAAAAAAATATTAACACCTCATGGTGTTATTCTTCACCATGTTTATGTTATTTTTTAAAATTTCCTATTCTTGGCATGAGGGGAAATGATTGATATTCAAGCAAATTCTCTAGAAAAAAATTCTTCCCAACTCAGATTTCTGTGTCAGCTCAGAATGTATCTTTTTTTCACGCTTTGCTCTTTGGATTTATAACTCTGTTTAGACTATTCCATACATTTTAGGTATATTTTGTGCCTTCAGACACTGCAAATAATAATCAGCATTTGGATTAAAGTTGTTTAATAATAAAACTTGACTTTGCTCCCTATCCTCTTCTTCTGTGGGGGAAGAAATGCTATCTGCTTGTTCCTGGGCAGCAGCTGGATTCTGTCCCATTGGCGTGGACTGTTGTGAGTGAAACTTCGTAGGCCAAGTGGGTCTCAGACACGCCTAGGGATGGAGGCATGCCCTCCTCACCCAGTGTGTATACAGAGCACCCTCACACCGACTGGGGAGCAATGTGAGAGCAGGCTGAGAAGTCATCCTAATCTTTGGTTAACCTAACAGCTTCCTGTGATATGTGACTTCTTGGAAAACTCCTTGGAGAAAATTGGGCCACACTCCATAGGGAAGTGTTCCCATGGCCTTGTGGAATGAACATCCTTTTAAGAGTTGGGTGGCTTTGTTTCTTCTCTCATCTCTACATCCACTCTGACCTTGGAGAAGTTGCTTCCTTGTGCTTTGGCCTTCGGGCTAAGGGTCTGTCATTCTTTGAGGACCCACAGCTTGCCTTCTCAATATTTGGCCCTCAGAAGGTCTGTGGGTACCATTTTCCAGTGAACATCCATATGCCCAGTCATCTCTACGGCCCCAGGATCACCAGCCTGGGCCCTGGACCTCCAGATTCATACGCTCTCCAGACCTATCTTTTGCATCACAAGGTTCCCCTCTGACTTTTATGCCTTTGCAGGAGAAACAGCTCCACTGCCAGCCTTGGGCCAAAGAGGACTGACCTAAGGAGTTTGGTCTTCATGATCAAGTTTTCAACTTTTAGGCACTGAAAGGAGCCTGTCTGGCCCTTGCCCTTTTGTCCCCGCACCAATGAGAGGCTTCTCCAGTGTTGGGTGCAGGCTCCAAAGGCTGGGGGCAGGGAGGCAGAGAACCCTCAGGCATTCCCAGGTCATCTGGACAGACAGATGGATCTGGACAGGAATCCCAAAGTGTTCTATTTTCTTAAGAAAAAGCTGCCCAGTTCCTAAATTCCAGATCCTTCTAAATCTTGCCAAGGCGAAATGAATTCCATACTTAATCTTGTCTTTTCAAGCGCTGAAAGAAGACAAAGGACACATAAAGGAAGAAAAGACCACTGACCCTAAAGGCCACGATCACATGGAAGGAATATTCCGTTCCTCTGGTCTGTGCCTTCTCATTTTGTCATCATAGGGGTGGGCAAGGTCCCATGGAAAACCTGGGTCTCTATGTGACAATATGCTTCCAAGACTAAGGGGTTACTTACTCACAGGCCTCTGCCTTCATTGCAGGAAACTTTCTAGAGAAACTCACCTTTCACTCCCACAGGTGAGTGCTCATGAATTAGCATCTATGTCTTAACAAAAGCTTTGTTTTGCTCTCCTAGCTTTGGCAACACAAGATTAGATAAAATTTCAAAATATTTTAACTGACCTTCCCTGGTTATGAACACAATAAAAGAGAATCTCTGTTCCTAATGTGACATGTTTTACATCTAAAATATTATTTTATTTCATACCATTAGTTGCTTTTAATAAATGAAATTATGCTTGATCCTTATTACTCTTACCCTTCATACCAGGAAACTTCAGATAGGTAACAATTTCCTGTGCCAATAACTTTAATTATTGTCTTTTTTTCCCCTCCCATTGGTATATAGTCAGAGGGATTATTTATGAGAGAAGTGCACACGTTCCAGATAAATCAGGTGAGCTAATAGTCACCTCCTACAAGGGAGGAAGGGACAATTGTCAGTGATATCAGACCCTCCCTCTAGCAAATGCTTGATATTGGGTGCTGAGCTCCAGAGAAAGGAGAGGGTCTCTCCACAGCAAGAAAAATAAAATTCCTGCCACAGAAATTTGCAATGGTCAATGGCCAGGATCTGGAAGAGGGAGCACCAGGGTGATCAGTCAAATGTGTCTCTGGGAGGGCTCAGTTGCTGGCAGATTCAAGCATACAGTTGTTAGGGACAACCAGGTATCCAAGCTCAGAGGGAAACAAAATAGCCACCAACACACTGAGACTTACCAACAAACACAATAAGGGTACGCAGGCACACTGAGGTCCATGCACGCACACTCACCATTGCAGGCGCAGGCATATAGAGTTTAAAAGCACACAGCAATGCACTTAGGTGATGAAAGCAGGTCCTGCTCCTCAGATCTAGGAAACAGAGTCCAGGGAAGAAAGAGGCTATTTCAGAGCTTTTCTGCCCAGTGCGCAGTCTCAATGCAACCATCAGCCAAGTGGTGTTCGGAAATCAGCCGCTGTGGAGGGAGACGCATTTCCTGCAAAGTGGCTTCTCTCTGGCCAGGTGGCCCAGTGTGCAGTCAACTGTAACCAAACCATTATTCTGAAATCCTTCGGATTTTCAACCCAAATCCTTGAACTATGCAAAGAAATCTCAAGCATTCTCCAAGGCATCTAATTGTTTCCATATAAGAATAGACATGAGGTATAGGCAGACCTCAGAGATACTGCAGGTTTGGTTCCAGACCACTGCAATAAAGTGAATATCACAATAAAACAAGTCACACGAATTTCCCATTGCATATAAAAGTTATGTTTACACTATATTGTAGTCTACTAAATGTGCAATAGCATTATGTCTAAGAAAACAATGTACATACCTTAATTAAAAATACTTTATTGCTAAAAAATGCTAACCATCATCTGAGCCTTCAGGGAGTCA